TCTGCCATTTTCTTCACTTTCATTCCCCTCACCTCTCTCCATTGCCTGTTTGCCCAAAGCTCCACTTCCCTAGTCCCCTATCCCCACTGGAACCTTCCCACCAAACAGTTCTGCAAAAACTCCCTTCTTGCATTCACCGCCTGAGAGTCAATGACTACCACCCGTTTACCGCCGACCCTCTTCACCTCCAACGACCCAAAAGAAAGCCAGGCACCTGCTACTGCCGCATCACTGTATGAGAGATTGACCCTTGTCCGCCCTTCTTTCTCCACTTTTTGGTACCAGTTGATAGCTTCCCATCTTCTCTTCCCTCCAGCAGATTTGCTTGAAGGGAAGTAGCGCGCCATAGGAACTAAGAAAAAACGAAGGTACACACCTCACTAGAACGTACACCAACGTTACCAGATCCTTTCACCGGAGATCCATGGTGGTCTTGAACGTACACACCTCACAACCTACATCAAAATTTTGATTCTTCAAGGTCTATAAATTCGCTCAACATTTTTTAGGATGCTTATGACACCTAGCTAATACAACACTAACTATCAAAACATTAATTGTTGACAATTTTTAAGCACTTTAAAATGTTCTTTGTTTTTCATAAAAGAGTTTTGACCAAGTCAACACTATTGGCATTGAATGCGATCCGGGGTCAACCAATTGACATAGAATGGATCAAAAATCAATGCTGCTGATCAATTCATTCAGATCACACACAAAATTACAAAATTTTGTAATACAATTATAACAGTGAAGCACAAAGAAACCATCGCTGAAGAGATGATCTCTAGCAGGTCAACACAACTTGTTCCTGCTGTTGTTAGGAGCAGAAAATAGTTGCCTTTCTATTTCTGGAACACAAATGTTCCATTTGAATATTGATAAATATCACCACCAACCATGGTTCCTACATAGGTAGAAAAAGTTGTATTCCTTTACATTGGACATGAATTTCTAGAAACAATTTCCAATAGTGAGACTCCTTACCTTTCAAGTTTTATACAGAATTAATAAGGTAAGTCCTAGTGTGAGAATAGAACAGATGCTAGCTATGTAGATGAACAGGGATGCCAATTGGGAAAAGGGACATCAGCCAATCCTAAATAATGAGAAAATATAGGAAGACAGAGATTGTCAATATAAAGGTGGGGTCAAGTGGGGCAAATTTAGAAACAGTATGCTATTGTTGCCAAAATAGTCTTCAATTGTGAAGAAACAAGGACTAAAGATCACTAGCACTGGAAAATAGCCACTGCAGATTGGGGAATGAATAGATGGAAGTGACTGCGGTTTATAGAGAATATTTTAGGTTGGAATCATAGAGTATGGGTAGCTGTAATGTGTACTTCAACTAGCATATAATCAAAACAACACTAATGAAGACACTGAACAGAACAAAAAGAAGAAATGTAAAAGGAGGATAAAGGCATACTGAAATCTCAATGAGATTCTTGCCACATTGTAGAATGAGCAAATTGATTGATCTAATGCCTACGCATTGTCCACTATCTACAATTCCCTATTGTTCATCCTTGACTTGTAATTATGAAGGTGATCTCTGTTTTTCTTACAATATTTATTAAGGCAGTTGTTCATATTCCATTTTGATTGTGGGGTGGATTCTAGTAAAAAAAAACAAGCAAACCAAGAAAACTGTGGTTCCTTACGATAGTCTACTCTGTGTTGTGGCCAAAAAACACCAGGGAACAGAATGGAAGGAAAACTCTGCCCTGGATAATTTAACCCTATGATCATTTTACGATGACTGAAATGGCAACTTAGTAAATAACTACTAAAGCATCAACACAAGCCCTGGATTTCTATCAACCAAACAAGTATCTGGGCCTACAAAGTCAAGCATCCAATATAATTCTTGCCTTACAAGGTGATGCATAAAACAAAATGACTGCAGCAGACTATTGCAAATTATTTCAAGCATAATAATTCTAAGCAAGTATTAAAAGGGCAAAAATGTTAGATTCCAAGCTTTACAAAGTCTTGACATGGGATACAATCATGCAAGTCATTTTTCTTTTACTATAATAGTTTGGAAACCTTTATCTTATCAGCATTTTTCAACTTGGTTGGACATAAAATACTTTCAAAGTCCTACTGTCTCTAAAAATTCAGACCAAGACCAGCTAAGACACATTTGCCAGGGTATCTTCATCTTCTTCATTGGCTTTGTATTTTCTTTCTTTGAGATATTCAAGGAAAAGAGTATCTCTGAACTGGTGAAAAAAAAGAATCCTGCAATCAGAAGGGAAGTTGCACAGTATCCCTGAACTAATTATGATGAATTTCTAGTACTCTTAAACCATCATGATTACTTCACATATTTTCCAAACCCCTATTTCTTTACCACTCATGAATCCTTTATTTTAAAGGTGAGTGAAATTTTGCTTCAATAGATTCCCCTTATCACATGATAAGATTTATCAGTTCCCTCGTATCCTTGCAAAGAAATGGCAAAGGAACTTCCTAGAAGTGGCTTATATTTCAATGCTTCCATAACTCCTCTCGTAGAAATCAATCATATCAAACAAACAGAGCCACTTAACCTATGGGCAAGGAGAATATAGCATCAGAAGCCCATTGCAAATTAGAAATTAATGAGGATTCCATTCTAATCTTTTGTACAGACGAAACAAATATTTGAGATGAACTTCTATCACTTTTTGGATCAAAAATCTTGTCGAAAGTCAGCTCCCCTATTCCAAGTCTGAATAGCAAATTTCTCTTTAATTAAAAGTAGCATAGCAATTTTTCATTGATCCAGAATCACTCATTTGCTTGATAGCCCACCAAAGCCGGGCTTGTTATTGTTACAATTGTCCTACAAGCATGAGTGCACCATAATTTAACAATGGACAATTGCACTGACAGAAGGGAATAAAACAGGATTCATATAGCTGACCCCATAAGGTTGGGACAAGGCCAACCATTTTCAGAACTATTCCAACGTCTATGGTTTTAAAGAATTATAAACTTCTCCAAAACAAAAAAGAATAAGAATTTGCTTGTCAACTTATTTATATAGACTCCAAACCCATTTATTCTGTCTTTTCATAATAATGATAAGGGTTTGACTATGATACCGGAAAGACATGATATCGGAAAAACATACATCCAATCAACTGGTACCATAAAAGAGGTGATCAATTAGGTGGTGTTCATCTCAATTCACGGGGGTGTTTTGATTGGTTAAAGCTCTTCCAATGCCATGTCTTTCCAATATCATAGGTTTTCCCTAATGATAATATCAAGAATTTTGGACATAAATAAGATGAGAAAAAGAATCAGACAAAATATGCAAAAAAAAAAAATTATGGGATGATATCATATCCGTTCACTTCAATAAGAAAAGCTGCACAGACTGGACCAGTGCCACTTATATATACCAAAGAAAAAGACAATTTCCAAGACAAGTACACATGGATATTATATGGTGAAGAACAGATTAAATTCATTCCCTTGCCAAATCTTTTCCTATTTTTTTTGATAAGTAAATGTAAAGATTTCATTAAAAAAAGAAAAAAGTAGTACATTCTAGTCAGGTGTTAAGGCAACACGTACAAACATAACAAAAAATGAGAAACCAAATCAAAACAGGTCATCCAAGCAAGTTACATATTTGTAACCCCAAAACTTCCCCAAGACTGTCCCCTATATCCACTTTATTTACTTGATCAAATTCTCGTAAAACCAAGGCTCACTCCTGACTCATATCCGTTCACTTCAATAAGAAAAGCTGCATAAACTAGACCAGTGTCACTTATATATACCAAAGAAAAAGACAATTTCCAAGACAAGTACACATGAATATTATATGCTGAAGAACAGAAATTAAATCTATTCCCTTACCAAATCTTTTTTTTTGATAAGTAAATGTAAATATTTCATTAAAAAATAAAAAAAAAAAAGTAGTACATTCTAGTCAGGTGTTAAGGCAACACCTACAAACATAACAAAAAATGAGAAACTAAATTAAAACAGGTCATCCAAGTTACATATTTGTAACCCCAAGACTGTCCCCTAGGTCCTCTTTATTTACTTGATCAAATTCTGGTAAAACCAAGACTCACTCTGACACAGATTAGCCAATAGCTGCCACAAGCCTATCCCGGTTCCAAGCCTTATCCTCATTCTGGTAAAACCGAGACCCACTCTAATTTCTTTTCTCTTTAGTAAAAATAGGAAGCCTTCAAAGATTTGCAAGCAATTCCTTTGCCAAATCTTTGTTTCTTCATCAAATAATGATTTTCAAGATTTTTTTTTTCTTTAGAAAAAAAAAATAGATGATATAAGAAAATACATCACTTCTTGTATTACTTTAATTGAAGCTACAAGGAGCCTTAATCTACAGAACATGCCAAATGTACTATGAATGTACTAGGTCATTATCTATTTCTATTAATGAATCAAATAATGAAACCATCAGCAGTAAATAAATAACTAATTAGAAGAATCAAATAAGTGTCTCTTAGAAAAAGGAATCATTACTGGTGGTGAAACTCAACTAGAAGTATAACAATATCCTAGAAACTAATCTACCAACCAATATTATATGCCAGCTTGCTGGTAATGCCTACATCTATCACAGAGGAGATGAAACTATCACATCCATTAGCATACTAACCAGTAACCAGTAACCAATTTCCCACCAAAAAATCAGATAAAGAATAAGCAAATGAAGAAAATCATATGCCAACTATGTAAAATATGTTTAGACACCAAAATAGCATATAATCCCCAATTAGAAATAAGTATTTTCTTTTTTTCTCCAAAAAAATAGACAATGATTCATAAAGCATAAATATAATAAATTCAATATTCTAAATGAACGTCAATTGAGATGAGATGTAAGTCAACAATTACAGTATTAAATGTAGTAAAGAAATGTCATAAAGGGAATCATATTGCAATGCACAAAAGGGGGAAAGAATAAATAAGGAAAAAAGTGGGAAATTCTAAGTTAAATAAGAGCACTTTAGCCATACCCGATTTAAGAAATAATTAGCAACATCAGGAAGAAAATGCAATTCATCTCTTCTCTTGTATGTTTCCTGAATTGCAGGGTCCTTCCAAACTTCATCTACAACAGGGGCATACTCACGGGTTGCAGCAGGGAAGAAAGCATCCAAGTCCCCCGTGGCCATAATTTCCAGTAGCCAGTCAGAGAAATGCTTCAACCGTTGATTAATTGCATAGATGCACTGCTTACTTTCATCACATCCACTTTCTGCTGCATCCATTCATAATTCAACCATTATATTAGTCTATGCCTCCCAGCATCTAGGACATCATAAACTGAAGTTGAAGTAGTAATTCAAGGCTTGAGCTTTTCCATAAAGGTCCATAAGGGAGCAGGGTGTTGAAGTTCCAAAGAAAACCAGAAATATTAATGATATGAAATTGTAAACCAAGACCAGCATCAAACAATGCACACTTAGGATGGTTGTATGTTTTTAATCCCATCAAGATAGTTATTGGGGCAAGGGTATAAAAATGTTATAGAACAATCTGCTTAGAACCTCCACCCCCAATCCCAGGGGGGGAACTCTTTATTTTTCCCTCAGATGCATATTTTATATTTCATTACATTATGCTTTTATTGAATCATTTATAAGGAATAAAGAGACCAATGCCACAAATCATTCTATTCAACATGGACTTTAATTGAAATATACCTATACAAAATGATAATGTTGAACCAAAATCTGTGTCGGATGATAAAAATGCAAAACCCGATCATGTTTCCAAAGAGCACTTTTTTTTTATAAATGATTTTCCAAAGAGCACTTTATTCTAATTCCAAATAACCATAGACAATCATTGCATGAATCGTCATATATTCGGACATATATACAATGATTATTATTATGGATAGGCATTGAAGAACTGGAAAAATTAAGATGTAGATTGAAGTACTCTGGAATCATCATCATCATCATTGTCCATGCCTTATCCCAACCATATGGGGTTGGCTACATGAATCCCGTTTTGCCAATACACTCTATTTAAAGCCATATCCACTGTAAGATTATTAGTGCTTAAATCATTTCTTACTACTTCCCATATCCTTTTTGGTCTACCCCTAGCCCTTCTAGCCCCTTCAACTCATAGCAAACCACTTTCTAACTAGTGATGTTCATGGTCTTCCATGCACGGAACCAAACCATCTTAGTCTACTTTCTCCCATTTTTATCACCTATCAGGGCTACTCCTAGGTTCCTACAGATAACTTCATTCCTGATCCTATTATCCTTTCTAGCTTTTCCGTTCATCCATCTAAGCATTCACATATATGCCACACTCATTTTCTGCACAAGTTTCTTAACTGCCCAACACTTTGCTCCATACAAAATAGCTGGTTTTACAACTGTTTTATAAAATTTTCCTTTCAATCTAAGTGGTATTCGCCTATCAATACTAAATTTTCATGTCATATACTTTGTTTTAGTCCTACTTATTTTAAAACCTCTTGTTTCTGAGGCATTTGTGTTCAAGTACTCTGGAATACATGTATAATATTTCAAACGGCTATTAGTATCAATGTTTAAAGAGCAAATCCTGGGGATTTCTTTAAGAGAAAATGATGAGTTCCACAAAACAGCCAGTTATGCAAGGCATCTAATAATTGACAATTCCACCATACAGATGAGCAATTTGTTGAATCTTCAATGATTTTTGGAAGATATAGGTGGTTAAGTGTACAGAACCAGAAAAGGGAGGTGGTTGATGGTCCAAGCAGTCCAACCATCTAGTCCAGGCCAACTTTTAAAACATAAGAAAAAGCAATCTTATCAGATATTTAAGAACATATAATAGTTTTTATTTTTTTATTTTTTTATTTTTTCCTTTTTCTCATGTATCTTAGACCTTCTTGATGGACACAGAATTCTGTGTTTTTGCTGAATGCTGATAAAAAAAAATACCCAGAATTCTGTATCGCATACCTGAAACTAACAAATATTGTATATAAATGTGAAATGAGGAGCCAGGTTTTCCTATTCTCTCTTCTGCTAGAAATTTAACTTCTACCCTTCACTGTAAAATTTTCTGGTGCCCAACCCTTTCACATTATTTTTCTTCAATGTTGTATCCATGCATAAATGAGGCAATGCAAGTACATGTATATGGAGTACTTTTAATAGTTTATACTTGTCAATAGATGTGTCAGACTCCTGACACACATCGAATTCTTGTTCTCATATCCATGTCCATGCAACACTTCTTACTGGATGAGGCAACAATATGATGACCCATGACATCTAAAAGCACTACATATGAGAGGCAAGATCTTTAATAACCAGTATGAGCAGCTCATTTGGATTGATTTAAGGTCAGACAACAATCCAGCCAATAGCCTAGCTAGAGTGGTGGTGTGTCCAAGAGTAACTTGGCATGGACACATGCTCAGGAATCGCAATCCAATGTGTCCAAGAGTGTGACTTGGCAAGAGGATAAAACGAGGACTTTCAGACATGTCCACATAAAAGTTTAAACTATTAAAGTAGTCCATATTTTTTGAATTCTAACATTATATGCCTATAAAAAAAAAGTCTGGAACTTTATCTTTATAACTTTATGATGGTTTCTATAAAAAATATTTATTATGATAAGCAAGTAAATAAAGGACAATGTTATATTGAAGACTTGAAGTATCCATTAAGAATGCATGGAGTGTTGGAATCCAACACATGTCTGACATAGATATTTAATCCATTTAGGAGAGTCCATGCAGCGTCATCTCTTTGTCTTCATGATTATCAATGAGTCTTTTCAATCTTGCTACTGATTAAGAAAAACATATATATGTGAGTCAGATGCAGGATCCAGTCCCAACTTTCATTGCAGTGGTTCATGTAAAATTGCCATGGATACCTGAGCTCAACAAAGTGATTTCACTAAAAAAACTAGATTATAAAGATGGAATGCAAACAGCAAAGGGAAAATGTCTCATTGAAACCTTGGCCAGACTCTTCAGCATCAAAAGTAGCATCCCTTCTCATCAAAGCCTCCTCTTCAAAATGCTCTCGGCCTTCGAGCAATACGCTGAGATATTTGTACATGTTTCTCTGTATCATAAGTTTCATATCATGCTGCTCTTCTGAAGTAAAGTTCCCATGCAAAAACTTGGCCTGTTCCAGGAAAAGGCAACACGATATATCTTATATTCAGGAGTTACTTATAATTGAATAACTCCACTATTTGTACGAGAGAAAGAAAACATTAAACTTTTGAGAAGTTTGTTGCCACTTTCCAGAAGGTGATCATTGAGAAAATTAGGCGGCTTTCATTGTTTTGCTCATGCTTTTGTAAAGAGCTTAATTCAGAGCAATTTCCTTTTTTCCATTCATAAAGGGCTTAATTTAGTGAAATTTCTTATTTGTGCAGATAATGACACCATAATTCATGACAACTTTGTAGAGGGAGATTCACAGGTTGTTATTTGATGGACAGGAGGATACTGAACAGATGGTTGGATATGATCTCATGCACTAAGAGGGGCCAAATCCTTGGCATCTAATTTGAAGTCCTTGTTCAGATGGATGCCTAGATCAGCAAACTCCATAGCTGATTCCTTACAAAGAGAAGGAACCAGATTTATACTGGGGTCTTCTATAAGGGGCAGACTATAGTAAGATTCAATAGTTCTTTCTATTATTGGGTCTTTCATGAACCTATTCTAAGCTAGCTAAAGATAAGTTAGCTCTTCGCTATATTTAACTGATAGATTTTATTACTTATAAAATGTATAGGATTAATATGCAAGAAGTGCACTATTAATTACAAAGTAATGAAAGAAACGCATTTACTACAATGCTGACCCTTGTTGATTTTCCACAACAATAATAGTTGATTTAATTTCAATCAAAAAAGCCTTTGTCTAGCAACCTATAATACAAGGGTACCTATACAATGGTATCATATCATGTAGATACTGCAATTTTTAGTGTAAATTTCGTATTCGATACTGTATCCATGTGTCCTTGGTGTATCCAAGTAATAGATGGCAACTTAATTGTTTTCAAATAGGACAAGTATAGATATTGCTCATGTGAAGGTTTTCTGCATGTTCCCTCATCATGACATGCCTTTCATGAAAATAAATTTATGTGACAAAAATAAATTTGCAACGCAAGATAACTGTTGACTTTTATACTGACCAGACCATGATCAGCTTGATTATATTTCAAAATGCAAAAGAAAAAGAAAAAGAGGATGCATGACATTTATTGGAAACTACAAATATATTGTTGGTAGAATGCCACAACTTGAAAAATATTTAAAATATGATAAGCATACCTGCTTGAAGATAGTGCTGGTTCCAGAACCTTCCAAGCCATGTAGCAAAAGTTTCTGAACTTTTCTCTGCTCCAAATATTCAGGCACAGACCTACTTGAGAAATTAGCTGCATCTTCTCCTTGTCCAGTAGCATTTCTAGGGGGCACAGGCAATGAGAATAGTGAACAAAGAAAGCGAGTTGATGCCTGCCCAGAAAATCCCATAGCTGGATTTAAGATTTCAAAATTGAACCAGGTCAAAGTTACTTGTATTAATAGATGGAAGTATACCTTTTCCCATATTTTACCCTTTATGTTATTCTGACCTTCTTCCTCATAAGACCCATCAGCGTACACCCAAAAATGAGTATCTCGGGGGCATTGCACCTTAGCTAACTGAAATTAAAGTCAACAAGACCATGCATCAAGTTTGCATACAAAAAATAGGACCAAATCAATGGCAAGACAACTGAATATATGATCTGACAAACAACCGTGCCACTTAAGGAAGCATAGTAAATGAATACATACACATAGTACTTCAGTCAAAAATTTTAAATAACAGAGAGATCATGCATTCCAACAGCATAGAAAACCCAAAAAAAGACCATACTGCTCCAAGAAAATGAACACAAATGTATATGGATTACAGAGTGTAAGCTAATTGAAGACATAATCAGGTGAGTAAATACAACAAAATTTTAGCATCCAAATGCTACTCAGAAAGATGGAAGGTATGTCAAGTATAATTGAAGTGAGTGTGTCACTAACTAATGCAGCCCAATGATACTTGTGTTAGACAGTTTATGTATGCCCTTAGCTTCAATCTGATTTGATGTACTTGTTATTTAGTGGAAATAAATAAAGTGCATGTTTTGATTCATGTTGTTTGGTTTAATTCTGTGTAAAACC